CCTTCTCCTGGCCTCTTTGGTCACCAGGCACGCATGTAATAGACAAACATAAGACAAAAACACTCATACATATAAAATAAATTTAATTTTAAGAAAGACCCTGTCCCAAAAAACAAAAATAAAACAATATACAGCACAATACCATACAACACAGAATTCATCACCTTAGCCATTTCTAAGTACACAGTTCAGCAAGTGTAAGCATTTCACATTGTTGGGCAACAACTCTATGTAGCTTTTCCAATTAGCAAAATGGAAACTCTATACCCACTGAACAACTATTTCCTCTGCCCCGAAACTTCTGTAACCGCCACTCTAACTCCGCTCCCTGTTTCTGTGAACCTACTTTAGAAACCTCCATGAAAGTGGCAGCCTACTGTAGTCACTTCTCGGTGGCTGGCTTCTTCACCACAGGCCACCTTCAAAAATTCACCTATGCCACATCGTGTGGCAGGATTCCCTTCCCTTGTAAGGCTAAATAATAACAACCACCACACCATTCAGCAATTGCACATAGATGAACATTCAAGTTGGTTTTGTCTCTTGGAAAATATAAGTAATGCTCCTATAATCATGGCGTGCACATGCCTTTTCAAGATTCTGCTTTACATTTCCAGTGTGTGTGTGTGTGTGTGTGTGTGTGTGTGTGTGTGTATGCATGCTGGTTCACATAGTAAATCTACTTATATTTTTCTGAGGAACTACCATACTGTCTTCTGTAATAACTGCATGTGCATTCAGTTCTCTAATCCATCTTTTCCACTTAAAAATGTTTTCATGCGTGTGTGTTTCTGTAAACTACATACATTATAGTACCCTTGACGTCAGAAATCCCTAAGAACTGGAGTTACAGATGATTGTGAACCACCATGTGAAGGTCAGGAATCAAACCAGGGTCCTCTGCAGGAACAGTCAGTGCTCTTAATCGCTGACGCATCTTTCCAGTCCCTGCTTACTTTATTTTTTAGACAGAGTCTCATGTCGCCCAGGGTGCTCATCATAGCATGCGGTACTGGGGAATGAACCCAGGGCTTCACGAATGGCAAGGCAAGCCCTCCACCTGCTGAGCTACATACAATCCTAACCCAAAACAGCTCATTAGTATTCTTCTTATATGACATTAAGTTCAGCAACTGCCTAGGAAACTACCATTTGTTTCAACTCTTTGAGGATAGCTCTAAGGATAGCTGCAACAGCTAGTTGCAGCTTTTCAGTAAATAATAATAAATTAATGAAAATTAATAATAGTTGGGTGTGGTGCCGCACGTCTTTAATCCCGGCGCTCAGTGGGGCAGAGGCAGGCGGATTGCTGTGAGTTTGAGGTCAGCCTGGTCTACAAGTCCAGAACAGCCAAAGCTACACAGAGAAACCCTGTCTTGAAACACCAAAAACCAACCAACCAAACAAACAAACAACAAACAAGAAGCCATATACTTTCAGATAAAGTTTTATATTCATTATCCCTTAAGACACTCATTATACCATCAGGATAGGTTCTTCAACATAAAATTCCTGAGTCAAAAAAGATATATTCTTGTCAACTCACCAAGGAATGGTTGACATATAATCAACCGCATGTTTTGAAAGTACATAATTTGGTGGTCTAGAGAGATGGCTCAGTAGTTAAGAGCATCAGGTTGTTCTTGCAGAGTACCACTTGGTGATTTACAACTATCTGTAACCTCAGTCTCTGGGGACTCTCACACAGAATTCTGGCCTCCTTTTGTGCATGTATATGATGCACAGATATATAAGCAGGCAAAACAGCCGTACATGTAAAGCAAAATTTTTTAAGGGAAGTACATAACTTGATTCCTTTTCCTAAGTGTCCAAGTGTGATTCAATAACCAAAATGAAGGTCAGGAAGGTCATCTTTTTTTTTTTTTAAATGCATGAGGTTCTTTTTATTATAAATCATTACAAGCTGCAGCTTGGGCCCACACCCCCCACTGCCAAAGTGGTGAGAGCCGAGCACCCCGTGCTCAGGTTAGTTGGGTGATTTTGAGAGGAAGGTCATCTTTTATTCTCAAGTTTTCTCCTGTGCCTCCCCCCTCCTCTCTATAACCCTTCTTCTGTTACTCAAGCTAGGTTAGGTGTGTTTATCTCTCCAAGAAATAAACATTTCCCAAAGGGGTCGTATTGCTTTATAGTCCCACAAGTAATACAAGGCAGTTACAATTTCTCCCCAACAATTTCTACTGTCTTAATAATTTTGCAGTCTATTGGGTAGATCGTGATGTCTTTCTGTGGGTTTAGTTTGCCTTTCCCTAATGCTCAGTGGTGTTAAACGTTGTCAGACCTTCTTTTCTGAAGCGTCTGTTGATACTTTTTCCACTTTTAATTTGATTATTTCGTTATTTAAATTTGTTCATATTTTTAATTTTATATGTGTTTTGTCTTCCTGGATGTCTGTGGGCACGCCTGGTAAAGTTGGTTGAGAGCTGACCTGTGGTGTTGATAATCAAATTTGGGTCCTCTGGAAGAACAGCCACTTCTCTTAGTCACCAAGCCATCTCTCCAATCCCCTCGCTATTGAAATTTAAAAGGTCTATACATTCTGGACATAAACTTTTTCAGATGTTATTTATAAATATATTCTACAGGTTTGCGCCTTGCCTTTCCCATAGTTCTGTCATGGGTCAGGCATTCTTGTTTGATGAAATCTAGTTTACCAACTAATTTTCTCTATGTGGATGTCCCCCTCACGTTATAAGGTATTTCCCTAATTTGTAAATTTTATATTTAGCTCTAGGTTTCTAATTTGTAAATTTGTAGATTTTCTAATTTGTATATTTTATATTTAGCTCTAGGTTTCATCTTGAATTAATCTGAACACAGGCTAAGAGACCTGGATCCAAATTCATGCCTCTGTATACGGATAATGTTTTAGAATTATCTGTGTGTCGTGTTTGGTGGTGGTGGGGGATGGAACTCATTGTTTCATGCATGCTTAGCTTCTGTGTTCTAAGCTGTTTATAGAAAAGGCTTCCTTCCCCAGTCTTGCTGGCACATGCCTGTAATCCCAGCACTTAGGAGGTGGAGGCAGAGGAATCAAAAGGAGTTCAAAGTCATTCTCGGGTGTCTAGTGAGTTTGAGGCCGGCATGGCTGCATGAGACTCCGGCTCCAAAAGGAAAAACAAACAGATTTTGAATTATCCACTAAGTTGTCTTTGTATTTTGTCAGAAATCAGTTGACCATATATGTGTAGAACTCTTCCTGGGCTTTGTCCCATCACTTAATGGTGACATGTTCTGAGAAATGCATTGTTGGGCCTGTGTAAGGACCATGGAGTGTGCTTACACAAGCTAAAATGTGATGTCATAAGTCAAGGGAGTCTTACAAAAGCTTGCTGCCTGCTGCTGGAATGCCATTATCGTACGTTTAGAAGATAATGTTTGCATTAATACCACCCTGTCTTGATTTTTGTAGCTTTATTACTCTTGAAATTAGGTAATAGAAGAGTTAATTTTTTGTTACATTTTACATTGTCTTGTTTATTCTGGGCCCTTCACATCCACCATGTGAAATTTAGAATAGTTTTGTTGCTTTTGACTAAAACAAAAACCTGCTGAGGTTTTGATTAGGATTGTATTAGTATATGTTCAGGCCTACATTTCTCTTAGAAATATATTGTGGTTCTCAGCATATAGACCTTGTACATTTTTTTAAAAATATATTTATTTATTTATAGAGTATTCTGCCTGCCTGCATGCCAGAGGAGGGCACCAGATCTCATTATAGAGCCACCAGGTGGTTGCTGGGGATTGAACTCAGGACCTCTGGAAGAACAGCCAGTGCTCCTAACCTCTGAGCCATCCCTCCAGCCCCCAGATCTAGCACTCAATATTTCTTAGTTTTGGTGCTATTCCAAGGCATGCAGATTTTCCTCATTGTTGTTTCTAGAATGTAGACAGAGCTGGTTCTTGGATCCAGAAACCTCGCTAATGAACTCAGCTCATGGCGACAGCAGCTTTCTGTCTGGATATACATAGTTTACCCATTCTCCTACTGAAGGCCACCTTGTTTGCTTCCAACTTTTAGGGTGGACAAAGCTATCACGTTGCTCTCCCAGGCAACACCTGGGCAATCCTTAAAATGCAGTTTTACAGCTCCTTGATGAATCAGCTCCGCGTTCCTGCCAGGTTCAGGAAGTAATTCATACACGTTCTCCAAACTTTATGCACACAAGAATCACCCACTTGTTGAGCTGCATTTTTTTTTTTCAACATTTTCAACTGAGTAGGTCTGTAGCGAGAACTAGAGATGTGCGTTTTAACAAGCCTCTCGCCCCATTCCTATGCAGCTGGCCTCACTGGCCACACTGAAAAAAAAAAAAAAAATGCGCTAACATTATTTCTCACTTAAGATGCGCAGGGGATGGTCAGTTATTTCTACCATTGTCTAGGAGAAAAAAGGTCTTTGATTGATCCGGAACTGAGCGGTGGCAGGAGAAATGTCTACGCGAATAGATTGAAGTTCATTTTCTCTCATTTCGCCAGCAGTTCCATCGGTGATCTCTTCGGCAGCAAACTGGGCAATAATAAGCTGCCAGCGGGGGGGAAAAGAACCTGTCTGTCAACTTTCCGAATTCTCCGTCCCCAGTATCCAGGTCCAAAGGCTTGGGATGAGTGGAGCTCCGGAAGGACGGCCTCCGGCGGTTCGTGCTTGCCAGCTCAGACTTGCCCGGAAGCCGACGCCACCTGGCCAGAAGGATGTACCGGGGTGGACGCGCCCATGCCACCCGGCTCGGGCGACTCCCGCTCCTAGCCCAGCCCTTTAGACCGATGCCGTCATCAATAACTCAAGACGCGCCTCTCCATTGGCTGGAGCCTCGCTGGCAGACGCCCAATGAGGAAGGACCCTCGGGTGCTTCTGCATAATGAGCGCGCGTCCGTGACGCAGCGGCTGGTGATTGGTCGCCGCGGCGTGGGGGCGGGCCCGCGAGCGGGCGGCGGCGAGCGCTCCCGAGCGCGCAGAGCGAGTCGGACTGGAGCGCGGCGCGGCTGCGACTTGGCGGGCGGCGGCATGTTCAGCTGGATGGGGCGGCAGGCGGGCGGGCGCGAGCGCTCGGGCGGCATGGACGCGGTGCAGACGGTGACCGGGGGCCTGCGCTCTCTCTACCAGCGCAAGGTGCTGCCGCTGGAGGAGGCGTACCGCTTCCACGAGTTCCACTCGCCAGCGCTGGAGGACGCAGACTTCGACAACAAGCCCATGATCCTGCTGGTGGGCCAGTACAGCACGGGCAAGACCACCTTCATCAGGTAACCCGGCCGCTTGAGAGCATGGTCTGCCCTCAGAGTACACTCCAAGCCCGGGGGCCTGTCGCCTCCCCAAGCCCGGGGGCCTGTCGCCTCCCCAAGCCCCGACTCGAGCAGCGCGAGGGGAGCGCGCTGCGAGCCCTTTCCTTGCTATTGCCAAGGCCTTCCTTGAGCCTGTCAACCCTGGTCTGTCTGGGAGCGCAGGAAAGGGAGGGTGAGGCTCTGGAGAGCATCATCTGTGCAGCCTAGGGCTGGAAGTGGTAAGGAAGGTGTGCGGGTCCTAGGTGACCGAGAGATAAGCTTGTAGCACAGTGACAACGAATGAATGAATGTGAACGAGTGAATGCCGCGGTGGAGGTATTGCCATGCCCTTAAAGTGCCACTCTCTGCTACGGCTGCTGCCATCGTTCAGCTTTATGGTCTATAGGAAGTTAGCCGACGGTGTGGCCGCCTCTCCAGCCTGTGGAACGAAGGGGAGTGTCAGGTTACTATTTGTTAGTTTCCATTTCTTCACCCTTGACAAACTGAAAATATTTGTCACGGTTGCTCTGTCTCCAGAAGCAGTAGCCAGTACTTGCCCTGCGGTTCTGATCACATAGCTTCCTCTGAAGTGACTCGGTGAGAAATAATTTACAATGAAACAGACTGCTTTTTAAATAAGGCGTCTGTTTCAAAAACAACCAGCATATTAACACTCCCTTTCTTTGGGAAGATTTGGTTTTCTGAATTAAAGCCCCTATCAGTCTAGGCGAAGTAAGTGACTGAACACTTAATGTTTGGAGCCAGAGTTTTAGAAACACGCTCTTCATCATTTGATGTTCAACAGGTGTTCAGAAAACTGCATCTGTCTTTGGGTACGTGCCATTCCTGTTAAGTACAACCCCTTTTTTCTTCATAACTGTGACATAAAGAGTTCCAACAAATAGAGTAGTTGTTACTACAACTGCTAAATCTAGACCACATACAGTGTGAATGAACTCAACAGAGGAAATACATTGTGTTTTGAAATGTGAAAGAAGAGAGAGAAAAGTAATGTTGAAATTGTTTCATTTGCTGCTTTTTAATAAGCTGAAAGTAGTGTTGAAAATGTTACCTCACCAATGAACTCTAGATATATTACAGCAACTGGCTCCTTGAAAGGTGCCGAATAGCTGGCCGCGATGGTGCTTGCCTGTAATCCCAGGATTTGGTGATTGTGCCTTCCAGGCCAGCCTGGGCTACATAAAGCAATCTAGGATGACCTGGGACAAAAGACCCTGACTTCTAACCAAAACAACAGCAACAAAACCTAAGAAGCACTAAGGTGTTAGTTAGTAGCAGTTGTGAGTTACTGGGTTAGTGATACAAGAGTGGGGAGAGAGCTTTTAAGCTCAGAGCAAAGAAGAGTATAACACTGTTAAGATGTCCTGGTGGCAGGTTCAAAGCCGTCCCATCTGTTTCCTCCTGTTTGTCTTGGCCATGGGCCTCTCTGTACCTATGGGTAATTAGTTAGGGAGCCTTTCCTTGATGCTGTACCAACCTAGCCTAAAGATAGAGTATGTTCCTCTGTCCATAGCCCAGATAATAAACAGGCCTGAGGCAGAGCACAGCTCATTTCACTGGAACATGTATCAATCCTTTTTCCCACCCTATATTATGTTATAGTCTCATTCTTCTCTGACTTATTAGAAGAAGCTTCATGGCATAGTGTTATGACAGGTTCTTAGATTTGACTCATGGCTGTACCTCTCAATTAAGCACTTTGTAGTATTCAGAACTCAGTAGGAGCTACAACCCCGGGAGGAATCACCTTTTTGGGAGCTTGGACCAAATGGCTTTGTCATTACACGGAGGGCCCAAAGTGGACCTGGGGGTTAGAAGAAGATCTCTGTGGACAGAAGCTGGATGACACTACACTTGTGGCATCTGAAATCGATTCTAGGGAAGAGTAGGAGGAAGTGATTGGTCTCTGGGAGGAAAGCAGCAAACAGCTGTCCTGGAGGCCCGGCACTTGGAGCAGCAGAGGAGAGGGCCATGAGAGCTAGCCTTCCTGGACCTCGCTTCAGTTAGGTCCTGGCTGGGGTGCTTAGTGCTCACCAAACCTGGGGAAGGGGCTTGTAATGTCACAGATTCTTTTCCGTCTCACTAACACAGGAGCCACGGTGTCATGGAGAGAAGCATTCCTCTTCACTGTAAGCCACTCCATGCAGCCTTGATTATGTATATTACTCCTAAAAATCTTGTTTTTCCTCTCTTGTTTTGGAGAAAGTAGGAGTCTCATTATATGTGGTGGGCGAGAACACGCATCAGAACTGAGACAGCTAAGTGTGTCGCTTGTTTTGATGGGAAGATCTCCTAGGTGGGATGCCTAAAGAGCTTGGCATGTCACGCAAATATGCTCACTCCTGTATAGATAATCAGGAGGGGCCAAGTGCCAGGAAGAGAGTTAAATAAAGAGTGAGGATGAGGTCAAATGGAAAGAGCAGATTAGTAGAATCTCCTATAGATCATAGCATTGAAAGGCTAAAGGAGGCTTCAGAGGTGGTAGAGATATTGGTCAAAGTCTCTCTGGGGGAACAGGACAACAGCTGACAGCTCTTATTTCTCAGAAGACAGGATATATAGTAAGAACTGTTAAACTGGAGAGGTCAGAAGGATTATCCAGAGAAGGAGAAGGGATTGGCACTGTAGAAACAACCATATCATCATTGATTTTAATGGCTGAGGAAGGGCAAGCGTATTCAAAAAGCCTGAAAAGAAAAAGTTTCGTGGGTTGGTTCTGCAGTTAAGAGCACTCACTGCTCTTCCAGGGGGCCCAAGTTTGGAGTTTGGTTCCTAGCCACATGTTAGGTGGCTCACAATCACCTGTAACACCAGCCCCAGGGAATCCAATGCCCTCTTCTGGACTCATGAGCACCTGCATTGATACGTGTGCCCCTATGCATACCCCGTACACAATTAAAAATAAATCTATTAAAATTTTATTTCAGAGGTTCCTCCACAAAAAAAAAAAAAAAAAAAAAAAAAAAAAAAAAAAATTACTGGGCCCAGCTGCTATAAAGCAAAATCATTCCACTGTGAAACATGGGAGGCTCCCCGGAAATCAATTAAAACTACAAACTGCAACTTCTGCTCTTAAGGGTTCTACTTCCTCTCTCCCTCCTTCACCCTGGCAACGTTCCCAAAGAAAGCTTATTCTAATGAGGAGAAAAGAAGAAGTGACTTCAGAGACTTTTGTAGGCTGGGCTGGGGATAGCTCAGTGGTAGATGTCTGGTCCTAGGTTCAATCTCCAGAATGGAAACAAAGCAACTAAGTAGGCTGTAAAGGGGCAGAGAGCAAGGCAATAAGGCAGGGAAAGACACAAACTGCATCCAGATTGGAAAAGAGTAAAACTGTTTGCAGACCATATGGTCTTTTATATTTAAAAAAAAATTTTTTTTATAACAAAGTACAGAAGTTTTTGCATTTTTGTAAACTTGAAATGAACAGCCGCAAAGTGGCATTAAGCAGACAAACTTGCTTATGATAGCCTCCAAAAAGGATAAAGTATTAACACCCAACAAAAAGAGATGCAAGACTTCCGCATGGAAAATTAGAGGGATTATGGAAAGACCTAAATGGGGGAGGGGGACGGGGGACCATGTAGAGATGGCAGTGCTCCTGAACTGTTTTCTGAAACAGTCCCAATGTGTGTTACTTGGTATCATGGACTCGCCATAGAACCCAGGATGGCCTCAAACTTGTAGTCCTCTTACTCCTGCCTCTGCAGGTCTAGGGTTACAGAGGTGTTCCACCTCACCTATCCAGTGTACCGAATTCGTTTTCAGATTCAAAATATAACTTCTATTGAAATATTTGGTTTTTTTTTTTTATTGCTTGTTTGAGGCAGCAATTGACAGGCTGAGTCTGTAATTCTTAGGAACCCAGAATTACAGAACACGGCCCTGAAAAAAAGAACAGTTTGGAGGACTCACATTTCCTGGTTTAGAATTTATCATGTAACTACTGAAAGCCATGCAGTGTGGCACTAGAGGAAGGATAGACAATCAGTGGTACAGACCTGAGCGCCCCAAATAAACTTCATATTTATGATCAGCTGATTTTTGACAAGACATCATGACAGTTCAATGGAAAAAGGCTAGCTTTCTCGCCAGATGATGCTGGGACAGCTGAATACCCATGTGCCAAAGCAGCAAAGAGATTGCTCGTGCATATGCAGTTTCTTTTTGGAGCGATGAAAGTGTTCTGAAACTGAGTAGTGGCACCGATTATAGAACTTTGAGAGTGACTCAGACACGGATCTACTCTATAGAAGAGGAAATTTTCTGGTATATGAATTGTACTCCAGTCGGTGTTGGGTGTAGCTCAGCAGTGAAGTGCTTGCCTAGCATGCACAGGGTCCTGGGTTTAATCACTAGAAATGAAAAGCAAAAACAAACCAATAAAAACATTCTTCTAGTATGAAGCAGCCTGTAATTTTGATTTCCATAATTCTGTAATTAGTGCGAGTCAAGTAATTTGTGCATCTGTGTGTGCTAATTTAAAACGAAAAAAAAAAAATGTATTCCAGAAAGAAAACAAATTGGAAATGAGGTAAAGAAACAAGAGCAAAAATAATAAAGGGAACTAAGAGTAAATGTGAGGCAAAGGGAGTACAAATGGCTACTGTGGAATCCTGTGGTTTTGTTTCTCCTTGTATATCTTGTCAGTCAATAAACATTAATCATTCATAATACTCAAGTTGATAAAATAAGTGCATGATGAAATTTTTCACAAGTAAATGCTTAATGAGGGCTGGAGAGATGGCTCAGTGGTCAGGAACATTGGCTGCTATTGCAGAGGAGCCGGTTTGGGTCCCTGTATTCATAGGGTGGTTCACAACCATCTGTAGCTCTAGTTCCAAGGGAGCTGACACCCTTTTCTGGCCCCCACAGGCAGCATGTACTTGATATACTTATATTCATAACACAAAAATACTCAAGCATAAAAGAAAAAATTAATGCTTAGCATTATTATGTACTAA